CAAAGTAACATGAAAGGCTCTCCCCCCCCCCCCCATGCTGCTGTAAGTACTTACATTATGTGACGCCTCTTGATGCAAACATCTTCTTCCTTCCACAAGTTTCCAACAGTCCCTCCAGTGCTGGTGCCGCTCTCTGATCTAGTGCAGACTCCTATTTCTTCCTGTGTCCCACGGAGTCTTTCCTGCGTGCACGCTCCCAGCTGCTTACATTCACTTACACTGTGTCTCTCCTCCTCTCCCCTCCGGTGATTTCAAGTACGCATACGCCTGCACACATCCTCTCCTGCACAACCGTTCGGGAAGCTGTGTTCTGCATCCAGGAGCAAGCGGCACAGACACAGTTAAGTTATTACATATTTGCCCACTTTTTTCCTTTTTTAAATGTTCGGGCATATCTACTGCTTGCTAGCAGTAGATATATGTAAAAAGATGGAGACTTTAATACCACTTTAAATCTTATAGGATAATAAAATAAAAGCATTTATAAATATCTGCATTACATCCACATTTCCAATTTTATATACCGTTAAAAACACTACATGACAACACAGTATATTTTTGGCTCTGAATTCCAAACCAAGTGGTGTCAGCCCTGCCTACTGGACATGTGCGATTCGGTTCGTTCCGAAATTCGTTTCGGACGAATTTTCAGAAATTTGGAGATTCGGATGCATCCGACTTCCGAATTACAGCTGAGACGAATGCAAACGAATCCGAATTCCCGATTTCCCGAAATTCGTTAGCGGTAGTCCGGCCGAAATTATTTTATGGCCGAAATTCGTTATTGGACGAATTTTGTTGCAGCAAAATTACATTAGGGGGGGGGGGGAAATTACTTTTTTTTTTTTACAGTCTGCAGAAGATGAAAAAAAAAAAAGGGCAAGGGGACACACTCCCAATGCCGAGGGCACGTGGCCTGGTAAGGCGAAGGGAGGGGGGGGGCGCTCGATTGCCCCCCCCCTTTCCTGCCCTGCCGGGCCAGTGCTCAGATCAAGGGTCTGGTAGGACTGTTAGGGGAGACCCCATGTTTCCCCCCCCCCTGTATGAATTGGGGGGGGAACCTCATGCTTTTTTTTTTTTTCCATCTTCTGCAGACTGTAAAAAAAAACAAAAACATTTTTTTCCCCCTAATGTCATTTTGCTGTCCAATAACGAATTTCGTCCATAAAAGAATTTCGGCCGGACTACCGCACCGAATTTAATCCGAAACTAATTTAATTTCGGACCCGAATCCGAAAAATAAAATAATGCAAAGTCCGAATCAAAACGAAACTAAACTAAACTAATTTTTTTTTTTTTGTTTCAAAACGAAACTAAACTAAACAAATTTTTTGCTGGTGCACATATCTACTGCCTACTTAACGTCTGATGGATTACAAAAACACAGCCCTCTCGTCATCTTCTTCTTTCCCTCACCTCTATAACCCTTCCTTGTGCACAGGCAGAAAGCACAGGAGGTTATCAATTAATCAGGTATTGTTTGCATGTATGAAACAAATATAACAAACCATTCTCAATGGTATATGAATGGAACATTGGAATGGAAATGGAACATTTTGATGTGACTTTTCGATTTTGCCTTTTTTTCCCCCTCTCAAATGTCACTTTGCTGCAACGAACGAACGAAACGAAATAGAAACGAAATTTTGTGCAGATTACTGCTAACGAATTTTGTCCGAATTCCGAAACGAATTGACTTTCGGACCCGAATCCCGAAAAACGTAATAACGCAAAATCCAAATCACAACGAAACGAAACAAATTTTTTTTTTGGTGCACATGTCTACTGGATATTATGGAAAATGCAACAGGAGGTACAGAAAACATACATGTGGGCAGAAACAGAAAAAAAATCTCTTTTGGTCAGGAAGTCAGGAATAGGGCAATGAGGTCTCATTGTTGAAGCATACCAGAAATATAAGAAGCTGAGGGTTGACTCAATGCACTGAGGTCTAAAGCAGTGGTTCTCAACCTGTGTAATCTCAGGACCCACATTTGTCCTTGGCCAATAAATCGTGATCCAAGTTGCACTGCGCGTTCCGATGCGGGCAATAGAACTGTGGGTGGGAGGTGTGTTTGGGGTGCCATTCAAATGAATGGCAATGCAATGCACTTCTCACATCAGAAGTGCGGTAGGTGCGATTGCGTGGTTCAGGGCGTTAATCTCACGGACTATGCGATTAATGCACTGTACTAGTGTGAATGGGCCCTCAAAACACACAACCACAGACACAATCTCACAAACACACACATTCCCCCCAAAAATATATTTTTGTCCTTTTATCAAGATCCACCCATTCACCCTAAATTACAAGACTGGCGTGGATCCTCAGTCTGGGGTCCAGTGTGGGCTGCTTGGCTGTGATGGAGCTCCATCCATATGTGCATTGCTTGTACAACTCCCTTGCACACCCGGTAGAGGTGCCGGAAGACAGAATGTTAAATCACTCCGGTCCAGGCACCTCTACAGGACAGGTGAGTGAGCTGTAAGCAATGCATTTATGGATGGAGCCCACCCCACCTCAAGCTGACACTCGGCGCCGAGCAGCATATTTTGAATGGCGCTGGGGGGAGGCTAAGGAGCCTCTCACCTAGAAAAGTGGAAGGCACACGGGGACCCACTGAACACAGGGTCACGACCCACTTTTGGGTCACAACCCACCAGTTGAGAACCAAGGGTCTAAAGTATATAACTCACCTACAAATAAAATGTCACTTTTAAACAGACTGAACATTTCGTTTCTGGACAGGAAAATAATGTGGGCCACCAACTTTATAATAAATGACACTTTCTAATATTTTAGATTCTTTGAAGGCAACACCACAGCTTTGTTGGCCCTTATTTGTGCTCATGTGTTGTACTGGATGGATTAGGGTTCAAATTATACAGCATATTATACAGACATGTACGGTCTCATTGAGCTCATAAATAGAAAAATGATGCTTCTCTCTTAAAAGGAGTCCTCTGGGCTTTTTAGACACAGAATATGAGTTCCAGTATAACCTCAGAAACCAAGCTCTGTTATATGCAAACCCATTGGTGAGCCTGCAGTACTGTCTGGGGCAAATGCCCTTCTCCACTTTCAGGAAAATGGCTCAGGTGCCATTGTTTCCAGGGTGCTAAAGATTTATTGCACTTTCTATACATCGATGTGCACATAAAATACCACAGGTGTGAACAAGACTGACTTGTCATAAAAAAATAATGATACTCACTTGAGCAGTCCTCGAGAGAGCAGAGAGAGGTCTCTTTTGATGTTCCACTACAAGAAGGCTTTATAGAGGGTGATGAAAGGCAGGTTCTGTACCGTTCTCTGTGGCCATCCCCACAGGTGGTGCTACAGGAACTCCATGGCTGCCACAGACTCCACGTCTCTAAAAGAGAAAAAGTTGCAAAGATTTTCTTTAAAGGGCAGGTTTAGTGAAGTTTTCGTTTCATAACCCCCTCCCCACCACAACCACTACCCTGAGTGCACTCAGCCTGGTCCCATACTTACCCTCCATGCCAGAGATCTTTCCTTCAATGTGGTCCTGGCCAGCTCTTTTTTATACTGCACATTTTATGTGCACCTTATACAGTATATTCATATGGGTAGCAGTACTCATGGCGGGCTCCGGCTCTCAGTCGTAGTACAGCAAATCTCATAGGAGTGTGTGGACCACAGGATGCATGTACAGTATAAAGAGCAACTGGCTGGGACCATGTTGGAGGAGGGATTGTTGAAATGGGAATGAAGGTAAATACTGGACCAGACTGAAGGTACGCACAGCATTTCCTGTAAAGGTTTTACAGGATACTGGGGCATTTGTTTGCCTGAGTATTCAATTACTATTATTTTTTTCTTAATAATAAGAGATAGGTCATATTGTGTCTGTTATATAGCGTTCTAAGTTTAGCAAATCTGGTAACTGTCATTGAAATGCAAATGTTTCTTACCAAACCAGAGCTGTCCACATGGATGATACATATGTTTTAACCAGGGAACTGTGGGACAAATAATAAGACTATATGTATCAGAGTTGGCATGGAGGTCTGTTTTCCCAGGCTCACCAAAAGGCGCACCTCCAAACTATGGCAATGGGGCTTGGAAAGCACAAGTGCTAAATGTGTTTGTATCTCAGCCCAGTTAAATCTAGCCTTCATGATTTGTATGTGTGATCAACATGAATGCACATTGTGTAGTATAAACACAATACATTAAAAACTAAAATTTGTAACATTACTTTGCCCAAAATGGAATATTCTGCTTTCCTTGTAAAATGTACAGGGTATGGGGTCCCATTAATGATCTTCTAGCTCTTGGGACTTCAAATCACTAGAAAGTGGCCTGTTCTTGGAGACTCTTAAAGGTCTTGAAGAACACTATCCAGCACGAGTCTGGCAGACCTAACTAATCCCTATTAGTAATTTTTGTATAAAGGATGATATGTTTGAAGACAGCTTTGGATCATATTGTATTGCTATAATATTTGGGTTTATGTTTTAAGGGGAAAATATTGCTGTTAATTTTTTGGCCAGTGCTTTAAACAATGGGCTGCTGCCCTGAAAAATAATCCATGTACAGACAGACCCTTAACTCCTATTAAGGTATACCTACACTGGCTTCCACTCGCCCAGAGGATAAAATTCAAAATATTAACAGTCACGTATAAAGCCATCCACAACTCCGCCCCCGGATATAGCTCAGACCTTGTCTCAAAGTATCACCCTAACCGTCCCCTCCCCTCATCCATTGACCTCCTGATTTCCAGCTCCCTTGTCCACTCCTCCTATACTCACCTCCAGGACTTCTCTAGAGTCTCTCCCATCCTCTGGAACTCTTTACCCCAACCTGTCCATCTATCTCCCACCTTGACTGCCTTTAGGTGTTCCCTAAAGACTCATCTCTTCAAGTAAGCCTATCCCACCTCAACCTAACCACTGAACCTTCACATTCTCAAATAATTCATCCCCACACAGCTACCTCCTCATGTATCATTTCCCCCTCCTCTTTCAGATTGTAAGCCCTCAGGGGCAGGGCCCTCCTTACCATCTTGTCTTGAATTGTAATGTCTTCCTTATATTGTATAGCGCTGCGCAAACTGTTGGCGCTATATAAATACTATGTAATAATACTAATTAGTATATAACAGTTCTGTTCACATGAACAAGAAAATAAGGGGCATGATTTAAAGAAATAAAAAATGGTTCATAGACGTACCAATTTCTCTCCGAATCTCCACACACTGTTTGGCTGTTGGAAGTGAGAAATTGGGGCTGCTGCTTGAAGACATCAGGAACTCAAAGCAATACTTATTTTTGCCAATCTCAAACAATGTGCAGTTGAACTGAGAGTTCCGTTCTCCTCTTTGTAGAGCATTTTCAGCTAACGTTGTGACACCTTCTCCCGGGCTTCTAGGAGACTCTTTGTATACAATCATTTTACCCTCAACGTAATTACATGGCGGAGGTATAACGTAGACAGCCATTGAGGAATCACATTTTTTTTCTGTCACTGTGGTCAGCTTATATTTGAAGGTTTTAACAAGATCAGTGGGTCCAATATAGGCAATCACTGACTCAGAATCCATTGGTTTCAGAGACACTGTGATGAAGGCTTCTGGGCGAATAGATGCACATTCAATTTCTACCCACTGTGATGTGGACAAAGCAATTTCCTTGAACGTCTTGTACTGCATGAACTGATCGGTGTTCGGTTCTGCCAGCCCTCGAAAGTTCTGAGTGTGCTCAACCTCTAGTAAAATCTTGGCCTCCTGACCAGAAAACCCTGAGCAAAGCTTTTCATTGGTAAAGACCCCAACCTGGAAGGATCTCTGCATATCCTTTGAAGTTCTGTTCAGATCCATGTGAAACACTGGCCAAGTTACGTTCAGGAAGCTGCTGCTGATGTGAACAGCGCTGTCATTATTTCTCTCCAGGCTCATTTGAAACTGATATAGACCAGCCGATGTGAAATAGAAGCACTCATATTCCAAAATACCATGTGATATGTTTGCAGGAAGTTCTTTACTTGTAACTATCTGGTTGTTCTTAACGTCCAGCAGAGTTACTGTAGCATTTCTTGATATGCTGGAATTATCTCTGATATTAAATTCAATGTGGATTGAAGATTTGCTAAAGGCTATGTGGTGGGTTTCTTTAAGCAGGAGGTTACTGAAAGCTAAAATTAAAAAAACAAAACAAGATGATTAGAAAAGGCAGGACAACTTATGACAAACGAATATGTCAAAGACATTTGAGGGCCCAGAGCAGTCCTTGGTGTCTAAGACTTTATTGAAATCCAACAAGCCCTTGTTGCATATAAATAACATCTTCACCAATGGAACTGGTGCCTGTGTCCAAAGGGTCCACCAAGAATGGTAAGACAGTTCTTTGTAGGTCTAATAACCTAAAAGTATCTTCTTTCGCTATGCAGTCTAATGGTAGTGTTAAAATGTGGGAAATATACTAACTGCAGTGGAACATTTCATTCATAATCTTTCAGTAATAGCATTGTAACATGGTAAATAATATACGGACTAGAGCCTGGACCCAAAAATTCTAGTATTCACTTATGACTCGGTCAGCATAATCTCTGAATAAGGCTCTGTGAGAATACGTTCCTTTAAACCTGTATACTCATAGACAGACTATCTTCCAATTTACAGTACATCTATAGCATGCTGACTGCAATGTACCTTCATCCTACATAAGTACCGTACTCAGGTTGACGATTAAATTATAGTCACCAACCAAACAATATGAATTGTTGATCACTTAAATCAAAGGTTACCCCAGATTCAGACATGTTTTGCTTCTTATTTCTCTTTGTGGTAACACAGAGGGGACCCCCTCTCCAGCAGCCCAATAGTAAACATCAATACCATTGTGGTTTAAATTCGTTGTTATGAATGAGGTTTTGTCTCTACAGATTTAATGGTGTTTAAAGAAGTTATATGCAAATAACAGATTTTACCTGCTGATGTCTTTGCAGGCCCTTTGTGAAAGTGTGGCTCCTGTTCCCAGCATAGTGGGGGAGCTGAATCCTCTGACACATTGAAATGAACTGAAATGTGATGGGTAAGATCCTTGTAGCTTAGCCCTCCCTTTACTGACTGAGGTGAAAAAGTCCTTCAAAGCTGAACTCCAGGAAAGAGTTAGATGTTACATGGGAACCTATTAGAACCTGTCAAATGATTTGTTTCTGTGTCCACACAGCCTTGTCTAACAGGGTAGGTGACCTTATCTTTCTATGCTATGGTTCCACTTTTGCTCACCTCCACCCTGCTACTGGAAAATAATAGGAAAAGTATCACACAGTTGAGCACATCTCTATGTCACTCTTCCTATCGGCATGCCTTTTAACACTACAGCACTTCATCTTTTTGACACCTTCTGCTGCTTCTCTCTCCCCTCAATGAGCTCTGCTGTACAGACTATACTGTAAACTGCAAGTGGTTGATAATGCTGAGGCTAGGTTCACACCTAGGCGATTCAGATGCCGAGCTATTTTCACGCGGTTGTCACACGTTTACGATCAAGCGACTGTTCATATTGTAAACCGCGCAGTTGTCATGCGTTTTTGAATGCTTAGACATGTCTATGGGACCCAATCCGTGAGATAACCGCCCGCAAATAGCTCCTGCACCTTTTCGCGTGACAAACCGCAAAGATGTGAGCAGCCTCCTTGACTTCAATGCACATCTGTGTTTTGCGCGATATCACGCAACTCAAACCGCGCGATAAATCACCTAGGTGTGCACCGGCCCTAAGTCAAGTTCAGGTACTTCTGCTGCTTGCATTTTTAAAAATACATATAACGATGTATACATGAATACAGAGTTTCACTAATGTGTGCCTTTTATAATTGCTGGGATTCAGCTTTAGGAATTAAAAAAAACAAAAGCCAGTAAACACACATTCAACAGAAAGTGTCCTTAAAAATGATCATGACAGACCTCATATCATATGTATGTATAGTATACATTTGCCTGTATTTGCATACAACAGGCAATTTGGGTTTAGACTTTGGTACTCAGTTCATCACCATCTTTCATTCTATACTGAAGGTCAGAATCTTCCAGCGCCATCTCAGAAAGTTCTTATTCTTATAGCAGCCAAGTCAAGGGGGGAGTAAATTTAGAGACAAATATTACCCCTACACCATTGAAGATTATCCCATGGTTGGCACCAGAGGACAGGCCACTCATGACCACTCTACCATATTTAGTTAAACCTGTGCTAAGAATCTGGGATAGAATTGTTGATAAATATAACTTATCTTCCATACCAGGCCCCATGACTCCCATTGCTGGAAATCCACAATTCCCACCGGGTACGCAGGTGGCCTCTTTCTTGAATATTGAGAATTTTTCTCATGCACAGATATGGCAGGTTTTAGAGAAAGGTAAAGATGAATTAAAACCAGAGCTTAGACCGGAGAGCCAAAACAACGGAAAGTTATGGATGAAGGCAATGCAGTTAGCGGATTATATTAGATATCTCAGGACCTGCAAATCCCTGAACAGACCTTTACTGTTTGTTTGTTTACTCTGTTTGAGAAATTATGCTTGAGGGAAACAAAAATTTAACATGCATTATCACAGTTCTATGGTCTGTTGAGAGAAGAAGAAGCCAAATGTCATACAAAATACATGAAGAGATGGGAACAGGATTTGAGGAGGGAGATCTCAGAGAAAGAGTGGGGAAGAATATTTACTATGACGCATAGTTCTGTCAAATCCTCATTTTACCAGGAAAAAAACTTCAAAATATTGTCACGATGGTATAGATGCCCAGAAGGAATTAAACATATGAATCCTGGAGAGTCGGATAGATGTTGGAGATGTAGGATAGAGGAGGAAACGTGCCTACATATCTGGTGGAGCTGCCCCAGAGTACAGGTATTTTGGGAGTCAATATTTGAAGTATACCGCTCCATAGGGAACTTAAGTATGGAGAACGACCCCTCAATCGCTATCATTAATTCCTGGCCCCATACAAAAGATAAAGACAGATATCTTAAGTTTTGTACTGGCTGCAGCGAGAGTCAATATATCACGGGGTTGGAAATCAGTGATCCCAGCTTTATTAGAGAGTTGGGAGACTACGCTGGAAGAAATAAGATTTATAGAGGAACTGAGCGCAAAGGACATCGACAAGAAAGATAAATACGAGAATATATGGGAAAAATGGGAAATATACAGAAAGATAGAGGTATTTAGTAAATTGGTAAGAAAGATACAGAGGAAAGGAAGGGATACCAGAGAGGTACAAAGAAACAAATAATACTTAGATTTATTTTCTTATTAGATCATATATGTATTTGACCTGTATGTTTGAATGTAAGGTGAAGAATGATAATATCATGCGTGAGAAAGGGGAGACTGAGGGGGATTCAAGATATAAATTTAGATGAGTAAAATGGTTTATGGGGTAGTTGTCACTGGGTTTTTGTAAATTAATTCTAGGGGGGATATTATTATAGGAAATAAAGGGGAAATAACACTTTAAAGCAGAACACATATATAGGATAGTCTACACCAGGGGTGCCCATTAGGTAGATAGCGATCTACCAGTAGATCGCAAAGCAAACACTGGTAGATCGCGATCGGCTCACTGACCTGTGTCCTGTACTCACGCTGTGGTCGTGCGGCTGAATGTGTCAGACGCCGCAGACGGGTAGGAGAGAGTTAAGCGTGATCGCCCGCACCCGGAACGCAGGCACATTAATGCACATTATCTGCAAAAATAGTGCATGCAACACTAATCTGCCTGTATTCTGGGTGCGGGCGATTGCACTGGGAGCGTGGCTGCGGTGCCATTGACCTCAATGCACTGTCACGCCCCCTCCCACCCCCGAATGCAGGTGTTTTTTCGTTGGTAGATCTCATTGAGCTCGTCATTTGAAAAGCAGATCTCCAGACGAAAAACTGTGGGCGCCCCTGGACTACACAGTAGGGTGAGGAGTTTATACAAAGAAAGGTTTAATAGAGGACAAGATGGTCTTAGGACATGGGGGCAGGGGCGTAACTAGAAATCACAGGGCCCCATAGCAAAATTTTGTATGGGGCCCTGTGATTTAACCCAAACAGCCCACCTAAGGGTGACCCTGCAGAGCCCACCATAGACTCTCTATGGTAGGCTCTGTCCCCGCCTCCTCAATCACTGCCGATGACGGGCCCAGCCACCTCCTGCAAAGCTGCTGGTTGTCACCTCCTCACGGCCGCCAGTGACAGCCAGCAGCCTGGCTGTCCGAGCAAGATGCCATAGCGACCCAGGCGGCCCGTATGGCATCAGGGACATGTCCTGGCCGGGCCCCGCCGTGCCTCGGGCCCCATAGCGGCTGCCTGGGTCCTATGGTGATTGTTACGCCACTGCATGGGGGGGTAATTTACATGTATTATCTCACTGGGTTATGTAAACATATTTTAGGCTGGAAACTTAGACATAGGAAATACATTCTAGATTTGCTGAACACAGGTTAACAGGAAGTTAGGGGGTGTAGTGGGGGGGAGGGGTTAGGGAACAAAGGGGAATCAATATATTAAAATAGAACACACATATAGGAGACAGTACACAGATGGGTGATAATATCCACGAAGATAAATTAAAGCATTAAAACATGGGGGGTACCAATAAGGAAGGGGTTACCCGGATTCACTTGGTATGTATATTTCCCCCTCTTTCTCCAGAAGATGATGTGAATATGAATACATGGGAGAAGTGTATATATGAGAAGTAATGGAGAATATGAGGTTAGGTGATATAAAATGAATGATTATTGCTTCGATGATAGTAAAGCAACGTAGAATTTTTTTTTTATATGGAGAGATACATAGTTAAGTTATATATGGGATAAAGTTATGTTGTATGTTTATACTCTGAAGAATGTTTACAGGTATGTATTTTTATGTATATTGAAATAAAAACATATTAACCAAAAAAGAAAGTTCTTATTTAGAAAGAATTAATAAATGAGAGAGATATTAGAGACATGTCACTTACCACAACCCCACAGAACAAGCAATGATATGTAGGTGGAAGAGCGCAGTGATTGTCTCATTCTGTTGAGTGTAGATCAGTCCATGGTCAGCTGAAATCATATATCATAGACAGTAACCATCGGACCTGTTAACTACATAAACACACATGTGAGCAAACCATTCTGATCTTTACACATAACTCAATCATTACCCATTAGTGGCTCTCAGCTCTCTTAGTGATTGCAGGACAACTACTGAAATTAATAAGAATCACTTTCCATGTGAAGATCCAATTAAAAGCACCTTATGTGTTTGGTAAAGGAGAAGTGTTGGGAGAGTAAAATATCATCTTCCCAATACTTAGTCCCACTTAGGCATTTTATAGCTAAAAGCTTGGAGCTACAAAACGCTGAACACAAGGAATCCCATTGTTTTCCAGTGCCCCTGTTCACACATGAGAGTTATATCGCCTGTAGCAAAACAGCTGTCATTGGAAAAAGCACACATGCTACCTTTCTGCATATTCCTGCACTTTTGGCCACATAGACTTCAATGGCAATGCCTGGAAACGTGCAATACCAGTGTTTTCATACTTTTTAAGCGTTTTTTTGCGAGTTTGTTATGCAAGAGTGCAAGAGCTAGGACAGCAGAAACCGAAAAATGCACGGCAAAACGCTTGCAAAAACGCTTGACAGGCTCCTTTAACAGACCAAGCTGTCCAGCAAAAGTGGCAGATAGAGGGTTGAGACAAACCATATAACACTGCAGGGGTGCTTACAATGGTCAGCTTTTATTAATGTGTGCTAAATCTTTATCCCAAAAGAAAAAATAAACTGTTGCTGTCTCTGCTTAAAGATGTTATCTGGAATTCAGATTTAATTTGTTAGTCAAGTCCATCTAAATCTTCTAGTCCACCCAATACTATTAGGGATGCACTGATACTGATGCCGAGTATTTGGGTGAGTCTCATACTTGCCCAAATGCTCCAATGCCTAGCCCAATACATCCGGTATCAGGAAGCCGGGCAGCGTGTAATGACTCGCTGCCTGGCTTTCTGATTGGCCAGAAAGCCAGCTCCATGCTTTCTCGTCACTTAGTGATGAGAAGCATGGGGACGACTTCCCTGCTGATCGGGAAGCCGGGTGGCGAGTCTTTCAATGGCGCACAGCTTCCTGGCTAATCAGGAAGCCAGGTGGCGAGTCATTACCGCCGCCTGGCTTCCTTAATGGGACTTCCGGTATCGGTATTTGGTATTAGTGAGTACCGGTAAAAAATATTGGTACTTGTACTTGATACCGAAATACCGGTATCGGTGCATCCCTAAATACTACCCACCGTGCATGGTGACAATGCTGCTGTCCAAGGGTGGCTCCATTGCTGCTCAATAGTGTGGAGTCACCCTAAGACAAGAAGTGTGTTATGCAATATATGAAATTCTGATTTTGGGTTTGATAAACTTTATTATTTCAATGTTCCATTTTGCACTCTTCTAACACAATTCAAAGAATAAAGATGCAGAATTATACCGGGGTTACAGTGGGCCAACATGTAGAATTGATTTTTATAAATTATTGGTTTTACCCGCAGTTCTCTCTTTATTATGTTTATGAAAAATGCATATGAAATGTTACCGGTAGAAATGATTAGAAAGCTAAACTTGAATTTGGACAAATTGTGCACATAATATCAGATACAGTGTAAAAAAGCAAATGTTTTCATGGTACTAAAGCTTCAATAGAGGCACACCTTTCACTCAGACCAGAAATGTCCTTTCCACACTACATGACAATGAAATGCCTATAACACTGTGACTGCAGGCATTTTAATTACAGAGTGGCTCACCTATACATCTTGTCACACAACTCACATCGCGTCCGCCATCAATGAATCCACGCTGTGATCTATAGGCACCATGAAAACAGTTTTAAAAACGTATAAACATGACAACAATATATTTAGTAAATGTACTTAATGAACAGTAGTAACAGAGAGTCAGCAACAGAAATCTCTCTATTGAGAATTAATAACTTGACTTAGCAGCCTCTGATCTTGACTAGTAAAGTTAAGCTGGCCATACACTGCTCAGATTTCGATTCCCGATTTCCATTTACACTCTTCAGTACACCAAAAGTCGATTTTTCATTTGAATTTTGCCGCTTCACACTGCATTCTGGCCACTAGATGGAGCCAGGGAGCATAGGTGTGAATGAACACTAGTTGGTTATATATATACACACATACATAGATACACACACCCTGCTGAGACCCTCCGCACCCCTCCTGAGACCCTCCGCTCGAGACATCAGGCCGGCACCCTGAAGCAGAGCGTCAACACAGAGTATGTAGCAAATTAATTTACTATTATTCTGCATTGCTGTTAAATGTATTGCTGGGATTTGTAGCCCTCTATAGCTGATGGTATTTTTCTGCATTGCTGTATAATGTATTGCTGGGATATGTGTCCTCTAAAGGCAGTGGTATTCTGCATTGCTGTATAATGTATTGCTGATATTTGAAGTCCTCTATAGCTGGTGGCATTCTGCATTGCTCTATAATGGTTTTGCTGGGATTTGTAGTCCTCTATAGCTGGTGGCATTCTGCATTGCTGTATAATGTATTGCTGGGATTTGTAGTCCACTATAGCTGGTGGTATTCGGCATTGCTGTATAAATTATTGCTGGGCTTTGTAGTCCTCTATAGCTGGTGGCATTCTGCATTGCTGTATAATGTATTGCTGGGATTTGTAGTCCTCTATAGCTGGTGGTATTTTGCATTGCTGTATTACGTATTGCCGAGATTAGTAGTCCCTCTACAGCTTGCAGTCAGTGGCAGAACTACCATGGGGGGCAACGTTTACAGCTGGGACCAGTCACTGGTGCTCCACCACTGTCCTAAAATCGTTAGTCTATATTGTTTTAGAAAAACTGTCACATGACACTAAAAAAAAAAGGTATCGTAATTGGTATTAGCAAGTACTTGAGGAAAAGTGTTGGCACTAGTACGCGTGCACCCCTAATATATACATAGATATTTTGTTTTATTACTAAAGCCTCATTTTTAAAGCATTGGTTGACGGGTTAACACCCCCATCAGGTTTGTTTTGTCATCTCTAGGGGATTTCCCTTCACTGTCCTATAGACACAAAAGGAAGTGAGAGGAAATTTCCCCAAAGTGATGGAACTGGCATTTTGACAGATAGTTGTCACCTATCCCCATTGGAAGATTTCCCATCTACTGCTGTTTTAGGTGACAACTCCAAATTTTGGATTTCCCATCACTTTCATCACGATGACATTGGTCAAAACCAAGGACAAATAGAGAGAATAATTCTTCCCAGGCGGCACTAAAAAATCTGACAAGGGTTCTCACCACTTGAAACATTTTCCTAAGTTGTTTAAAAAATTGGCTTTAGATACACTTTAAATAAGGTTCTGCATCTTAAAAATACCTGTTCTCTCCCTAACAAATGCAAAAATCAGGCAAGGATATGAATAATATTGGAAGTGATGAATGAGCAAGCCTTCACTTGTCATACCTCTGTTAAGATTCTTACCTGCACGCTGCATTGTATCAGCCAATAAGGAGGTCTTGCTGCATCCCACTGCCGTCAGATGTCATTCTGCGTCCTGACTCCTCAGTCCCCACAATCACCCGGTGCCATGCTGGTCCTGTAGATGATAGAAGGGTACGCATCTCCCTGGAAGGAGTTTGGCTGCAGCTCTGCTGGTGTAAGTAGGAAGGTTTGGTTCACAAGTCTCCCCAGACAAGCTGCAGCTAATACAATCTCCTCCCTGAAGGAAGGGTGGAGAGGGAAATGGATGGACTACTCCCCTAGCTGCCTCTATCACAACTAAGGCAAAGGGGAACTGAACAGAACATACAGTATGTGTTCCCATTGTGTGGTGGGATATTGTCTCATCCATACAGCTTCATCCCACCAGGATGTGAAGTCAGGAAACAACACAGATTTCTACTGGCTGACCTGCAGCATTCTGCTAACTTTGGCTTCATTATGAAACACCATTGATGTGTCGTTGATCGCTTTTTCAAAATTAAGTCTTTTCATATATAGAGATTGAGGTCTCAGTCACATAAAGCTGAACTCCAGACAAAACATATAGTAACATAGCATGTGTTCATGGAAAATAATTAAATGCATGTTTAAATGCAGGTAGTCTAAGTACCTGAATTTGATTTGGTATCAGCCCTTTGTAATCCCTTGTACAGAAGAACTCAGACTAGGAAAAGGAGGCCAATCAGGACAGCATGTACACAGGCTGGGGCGGGGAAGTGATCACCCTCTATTGCTCACCTGCAGTAGAGAAATGTAGGTCACCATCTGGCTTGATTTAAACTATGCTATTTTTATCAGGAATGCACTGATACCAGTGTCGGTATTAGTGCCGATACTGGGCATTTTCACAAGTACTCATACTAATACTAAAATGCTAAAAACCAATACCGGCACTTTACATTTTCAAATGGAAACAGCTGCCCTAGGTCCCCTGCTTGCTGGGGATCTCGGCAGCCTTTTAGGAACCATATGGCATCTGCTTACAGCACTTTTGCCACCCGCACATCTCCACCTCACAAGACCCTCCAGGCCTCTCCTGAGACCCCCGCAATCCTTGGGGGACCCTCTGCCCAAGCAGCACAGGGTGCATAGCAACATATTATTCTGCATTGCTGTATAATGTATTGCTGTCATTTGTAGTCCTCTATAGCTGGGTGTATTCTGCATTGCTGTACAATGTATTGTTGGGATTTGTAGTCTTCTATAGCTGGTGGTATTCTGCATTGCTGTATAATGTATTGCTGTCATTTGTAGTCCTCTATAGCTGGGTGTATTCTGCATTGCTGTACAATGTATTGTTGGGATGTGTAGTCTTCTATAGCTGGTGGTATTCTGCATTGCTGTATAATGTATTTCTGTCATTTGTAGTCCTCTATAACTGGTGGTATTCTGTGTTGCTGTATAACATATTGCTGGGATTTGTAGTCCTCTCTAGTTGGTGGTATTCTGCATTGCTTTATAATGTATTGCTGGGATTTGTAGTTCTCTATAGCTGATGGTATTATTCCGCATTGCTGTATAA